AGAGCAAATTTATTAATTGGTTCACTACTTCATCAATGGAAAGTGGATATACACTAGCCTTTGTACCCTGAGCAGTTTTGCCACACACTTCATACAAACTCACTGGTAAAGATAAACAGTTAAACAAATGTATTGATGACAAAAGATAGATTTTAAATGATAGGCAAAAGTCAGAGTTAGTTACCAAAAGAAATAAAATATAAGCATGCAGTCTAAACTCTCAATCCTATTAGACTGGGCAACAACTAGATTAAACAGGTTTTTCTCACCCCACTGGATATTGCAGTCCTTAATATACAGGTTTGTCCCATAAACCTGGGCCAATCTCCTCGGTTGGAGTCTTGTCATCTTCGGAGTGTCTTTGTTGCTTCCTGCATAGGTGGGGGCAGGAGAAAGGCCCAGCATGTGGTCACTGTGTCTGTTTTATACCCTCAGTCCATGTGCTTGGAAAACACAAGTCCAGGTATGTCTGGGTGGCCACTGCTGAGTCTCCAGGCAAGGTTGAGCAATTCCCCTGGTGTGGCCTTATGCAAGTGAGTCATTGAATTGTAGCTTCCTTGCTGGACAATGGTTGTTGATGGGTTGTTTCACACCCCGCCTGGGCACTGGTTACTTTCCTTGCTGTTGCCTCTGGGGAACTAATATCTGTCTGAATCCCCAACTTAAAGTATGTTTTAGTGACAACCAGACAACATAATTCTCATAACTTCATATGCATTAATGATATACATATATGGATAGAAAAATGACTTTCAGCAGATCATAACTTTTCCCCGATACATTACAAGGCATGCTTTATATGTAAGATCACGCTTATATAAAAATGAGGAATATGGGGGTTCCACGACACTCCCCCAAGGTATAGAATGTCAAACATTCCTCACAGATGTTTGTCTAATCTGCTCTTAAAACCCTCTAATGATGGAGATTCCACAACCTCCCTAGGCAATTTATTCCAGTGCTTAATTACCCTGACCATTAGGAAGTTTTTCTTAATGTCCAACCTAAATTTCCCTTGCTGCAATTTAAGCCCATTGCTTCTTGTCCTATCCTCAGTGGATAAGGAGAACATTTTATCACCCTCTGCTTTATAACAACCATTTATGTACTTGAAGATTGTTATCATGTCCCCTTTTACTCTTCTCTTCTCCAGACTAAACAAACCCAATTTTTCCAATCTTTCTTCATAGGTCATGTTATCTAGACCTTTAATCATTTTTGTTGCTCTCCTCTGGACTTTCTCCAATGTCTCCACATATTTCCTGAAATGTGGTGCCCAGAACTGGACACAATACTGCAGTTGAGGCCTTATCAGCATAGAGTAGAGCAGAAGAATTACTTCTTGTGTCCTGCTTACCACACTCCTGCTAATACATCCAAGGAATGATGTTTGCTTTTTTTGCAACAGTCTTACACTGTTGTCTCATATTTATCTTGTAAGCAACGATGACCCACAGATCCCTTTCCGCAGCACTCCTTCCTAAGCAGTCCATTCCCATTTTGTATGTGTGCAACTGATTGTTCCTTCCTAAGTGGAGTACTTTGCATTCCTCTTTACTGAATTTCATCCTATTTACTTCAGACCATTTCTCCAGTTTTTCAAGATCATTTTGAATTTTAATCCTATCATCCAAAACACCTGCAACCCCTCTCAATTCGGTATCGTCCACAAACTTTATTAGTGTACTCTCTATGGCATTAGCTAAATCACTGATTAAGATATTGAAGAGAACCAGAACCAATCCCTGTGGGACCCCACATGATATGCCCTTCCAGGTTGACCGTGAACCACTGATAACTACTCTCTGGAAACAGTTTTCCAACCAGTTATGCACCCACCTTACAGTAGCTCCATCTAGGTTGTATTTCCCTAGTTGTTTATGAGAAGGTCATGAGAGACAGTATCAAAAGGCTTACTAAAGTCAAGATGTACAACATCTACTGCTTTCCTGCACCCACAAGGCTTGTTACCCTGTCAAAGAAAGCTATTAGCTTGGTTTGACACGATTTGCTCTTGACAAATCCATGCTCATTGTTACTTACCTTATTATTCTCTAGGCAATTGTAAATTGATTGCTTACTTATTTGTGCCATTATCTTTCCAGGTACTGAAGTTACGGCGACTGGTCTGTCATTCCCCAGGTTGTCCTTATTTCCCTTTTTATACATTGGCACTATATTTGCCCTTTTCCAGTCCTCTGAAATCGCTCCCATTTTCCATGATTTTTTGAAGATAATCGCTAATAGCTCAAATATCTCCTCAGTCAGCTCCTTGAGTATTCTAGGATGTATTTCATCAGACCCTGGCTACTTGAAGACATCTAACTTGTCTAAGTAATTTTAACTTGTTCTTTGCCTATTTTAGCCTCTGATCCTATCCCATTTTCACTGGCGTTCACTATGTTAGAAGTCCAATCGCAAATAAACTTTTTGGAGAAAACTGAAACACCAAAAAGTTACTGTTATTGTCTCCACCCGCCATTGAGTAACAGGCCTATCCTGTACTTGGTATTCCTCTTGCTTGTAATGTATTTGTAGAATGTTTTCTTGTTACCCTTTATGTCTCGAACTAGTTTAATCTCATTTCATGCCTAGGCCTTTCTAATTTTATCCCTACATGCTTGTGCTGTTTATATTGTTCCTTTGTAATTTGACCTAGTTTCCACTTCTTGTAGGATTCCTTTTTGAGTTTCAGATAATTGAAGATCTCCTGGTTAAGCCAGTGTGGTCTCTTATGTGACAACTTCTCTCTGTCTGAAGCCATTGGAGGCCTTGCACAAGCTTATTTTCTAGCTGCACATCTGTCTTGCCCATTTCCGACTGCTGCTCTTGAACTCAGCAGTTTCTGACACTTCAGTTAATTGTTATAGAAACTGAATAGTTTTGTTTATTTGAAGTATCTAGATGTGCCATTCTCACACTAAACTTTTGGTGACAGCTATTTTTTGTTCTATTCTCTTGAGGAGGACCATGTCTTTGAGTGTGCTGACCAGACCAAAATAAGTATTTTAATAACTCCTATGGATAGAGGGAATCAAACAGCTGACTCAATATCAGGTCAGACTCCCTCCCTACATTCCTTAAAAGTGTTCTTGAAGATGCCCAGCTAATTGGTGGCAGACACATTTGTTTAACTATAAGACTTAACTGATTTATTTAGGGTATTTCAATATTTCTACTTTTTTTAGTACTCTGGAGAGCCCCAAATATTAGTTGTTCTACCCCACAACTTCTTTGGAAGAATATTTTTTTCAAAATGAAATAAAAGGCAGAAAGAGCTCTGAAATCTGTTTTTTCCCCAGCTTGGGACACATTTAAATCTGTCAAAATGTACAAGACAGTTGTGATCACAGTGGCACAAAATTCCTTTAGGCAAATGTTAAATATCTCTGTCCATGGACCCAGACATAATTTAATCAAAGCTCAAAAGAATGATTTATAAGTGCTGCTTTTTTCAAATGAATTGCAGATGATAGCTTCCTTTTATCCTATAATTAGAATTTAAAAAAGCTTTAGTCTGGAAATCTTTAGTTTTCTCTTTAACCTGTTTTCATCACTTGTTTTTGTTGTGCAGGAGTAAGATGATATCAATAAGAGTTAAGTGTAAAGGATTCCCAGTGGTACTAGACCTTTTCCTGCAACATTTTCTTCAGCATATGGTGTCTCAATGACTTTTCTTGATAAAGACATATACTAACTGCACTACTCAGATACAAGGCACTTGATGTGGTCATTTTCTGTTAATTTTCATCCTGGTATTACCAAAGACCACTTATGAGAAGGAAAAAAATAGGACCTATTTCATATCATATTGAAACCTCTAGTACAGTGGTCCCCAAACTTTTGAGGGTCGTGCTTCCCTGCCCCCCTGGCTTCCCCAGAAGCCAGGGTCAGGAGCTGGGCTGCGGCTGGGGGGGAACATAGATGGGGTAAGGTGGCCGAGGCTGGGGCCGCAGCTGCGGGTGGGTCTAGGGCTGGAGCCTCGCCAGGGGCCAAGGCTGGGGCGTGAGCAGAGCCACAGGCGGGCCTGTGGCCGGGTGTAGCTCCGCTCCCATCCCTGGGCTGGGAATGGAGACGTGGCCAGGCCCGCAGCTGGGTTTGTCTCTGCTTCCTCCCCGGCCAGGGGCTGAGGGCGGGACCAGAGTGGCAGCTGAGCCCCCGGCCGGGTGCGGAGCTGCACCAAGGTTGGGGAGGGGGTCAGACATGGGGCTGGGAACGGGGGACATGGATGGGGGTGGGGTCAGAGCAGAACTGGGGGCAGGGCTGGGTGGCGCTCCTGCCCCACCCTCCATGGGGGCTGGCCCAGCCTGCCATGACCCCCCAAATGCTCCTCTGCACCCTCGTAGGGGGCGCACCCCACAATTTGGGGACCTCTGCTCTAGCAGCTGCCTATAACATACTGTACAGTCAAACTGGCCAGAAGAATGGATACCTGCAGCCATATTTATGTATTTATATCTAACTCAGAGTGAGGAACACGAGTTATTGTGGTAATTCTAGCATCTCTCCAATCCGCTATGATCCTTCTTAGATCAGAAGGGAAAGAGAGTTTGATGATCTCAGCCAAGCACCTAAACAAACAGCTGGGCTCCTTTCAAAACTCTCATACAACATGGCACAAATCAGCATTATCACTTTTTACAGAGTAACAACTTTAACTCTGCACAAGACCTGGACTACATTAGAAAACTTGTTTAAGGCTAAGCTTTAGGACTGATCTGGAAGTTTGTACAATGACTGCCCATGCTATGTCTACTGTTAGTCAATGCTCTGAGTCACCCACTTTCCTGAGAACTACTCTTCTCACACAAAAAACACCATACATTGATATTTTGATGTATGCATCACAAAACTGCCAGTTGCTGAATTCATCTATCAAAATTCCTCATGACAAGAGTGAGAGGAGGTAGTTCAGACATTTTTCTCCAAGCTTTGTATTCTTTGAATTCACATTCTTCCACATGTGATGAAAAGCAAACAAGAGGTTGATATTGTCCTACCTGATCTGCTTGCCCTCTCGAACATCATACAAAGAAAAGAAGACATCTGTGTCCTCCCCAATAGTATTATAGGTGAAGCTCTTTAGACTGACGAAGAAGTGGTGGGGCACTGGCATACGGCAAGCTTCCCCATGACGCTGACGAATCGTATCCACCTGATTTTTAAAAATCAAAAACAAGTATTATTTTCATCACAAATAAGGGGCACATAACTCACATGGCAGAGTCATAACTCAGTTCTTCCTTCTCCATGGAGTAGAAGTTTAGCCTCATGAATTAGGTGCTACATCAGAGACATATGGCAGATGTGTTTTCAGTATTTCTAGTTTTAACTTATATATTTGTTTTTCATTGCAGTGGATTTGGAAACAGAGAAAAGATGATGTGTGGTGTTACCAATCTGAAATCAATTTATCTAACCATCAAACAGACTACATCAATTCTGTTTCTCAGCCAGTGCTCCTGATTCCAGAAAATACAATTCTTCTTGTTGAGTCACACTGTTAGCAGGTATTAGAATTCTGAAAAAAAATGCTTCAGAAACTGCTTCTTGCTGACTTTTTATAATAGTTGCAGCTCATTAACCACCCTGGAGATGAGAGATGTGGAACTGGCTATGTGAGATTAGGGGGAAGGAGGGATTTGGGGTCTAAAATAGAGAGGTCTCTGTTAGGAAAGTCTAGGAACAATTTAGGGAGAAAGCTTAGGCTGGGGGTGGTGGTGGTGGTGGTTATCCTTTATTATTGATATTTGAGTAACCAAAAGAGCCAAATCCCAAGAAGGGTGTACATTTGGACCTAATACCAGTTACATCATTTATACCAGTGGAAAGCACATGTAAAATATTACCATTCTGATTTGATAGTGTTTTATTTCTATTTTGCACTGGTGTAAATAAAAACACTATGTGCAGGTCAACAATCAATTTGAACCAATTCTGTTCAGAATGAGCTGGGAATGTATTTCCTTACAGGGACAATGTTAATATTTTAGTTTTCAAATTTGCCCTATCTTTAAAGTTACAATCTAAATGTAAAAATTTTACAATAAATCAAGGTATAACAGGGTGCATTCACAACCTACAATACCTGTTAGAAGCCCCAGTCATTTAAAGCTGGAAATTTTGGGAAGTACCATTCCGATTCCAGAGATTCTGTGACCAAGCGGGAACTAAGTGACAGTAAGGCTAATTAAAAGGCAGCTTTTCAGGGGAAAGGGTGTGGGGATGGAGAGGAGAGAGACCTGTAGTTGTTACTTGTGGGTGACTCCATGGCAGAAGCCCTGTTAAGAGCAGCAGCTTGAGTTGAAGTAAAGGAGGCTTAGACATAGGCTGGAGAGGGACCCAGGGGAAGGATGAATGGTGCTTTGAGATCTTTGGATGAAAGACTCTATATACATATCAGTCAGTCAGCAATTTGCATTATTTCTTTACATTCAGATACATTATCACAGACTTCAAAGAAAAAAAGACATCATGCTAGGGTTTTGTAGCCATCTTACCTGTGTTGTGCTTTGCTGGACACTGTGCCTACTTGATAAATGCTGTGGAGGAAAAAAGAATAAAAATATAAATTATTATATGAGAAACATTTGTATTCACTTTATACAGCATTGGACCACTATTTTTAAAAATTAATTTTCAACCCTAAAATCCTCCTGTCTGTACTCTCTTCTATGTATTCCTCTAATTGTTACTGTGTCCTTTATCATAAACATACTAGACATACTGATTTTTCAGTTTATTTTCATAATTCAGAATGATTTTCTTTTATTTGTGTTATTCATTAAGACATACACCAATACCACTAGCTTTTTCTGACAACCCTTTTATACTTAACCGAGATAATTTAAGGGTGGTGTTGCCTTAACTTTGAATGTAAAAGGCTCTTACAGACTTGATAGCATTTAAATTTGTCTTTGTATTTAATTTAAAAAGGCCCTTTTTCATTTTCTTACATTGAGTACTTTAAGGTATCCAAATGCAGGAGTACCCTACTGTTATTAATCCCCATCTACTATGTGTTATCTTAAGGATACAGTTGTTTAATCCTCCACAGAGATGGAAGCCTAGAAAGAAGGTGATTTTGTTTGTTCAAATTTTGCACAGATCTGGATTGTGTGATACAAAATGAAATTCCAGTAAACATTTGAAGACATTTTCACTAATCTCAAATAGTCAACACCTGTACAAAAACATTTGTAGTAAGAGCAACATCTCAGAGGATGATCCTGTTTTTTCATGCTAAAGGGTAATATTATAATCAGAAAATGGACTGCAAGTCTCTAACTGTGCCTGTTTAATCTCCAGAGGAGAGATTTAAATCTAAATCTAAATCTAAATTGAGGTTTCAGAGTTTTGTTTTTTTAATGTCTTGTTAATGATTTTGCCATGCCTCGTTATGTACATTCATTTTAACTTTAGTATTTAAAAAATGAAATATCTTGTCAACATGATCAACAGAATAGCTTATGTCCTTTCCCCTCTCTTCTTACCCTATCCTTTTCAGACATGTCTAAGACTTTGTTGTTCTGACAAACCCGAACACACTACCTAGCAGAACCTGCATGATTTGTTGTCAAAATGGCAGCAGTTGCAGGAACAGAAATTCAACAAACCAAGAGCTTCAGCAACAGCATCTCCAAACCATAGCATTCTTATGAGTCTTGCAGTCAGAAAAAATGAATAAAAACAGAGGAAAAAGGCCATTTTATTTATGGGATTGAAAGATATTCTATACAAAAGAATAAGCTCTACAAGGGACTGAAATTAAATAATACAATTGGAGGTCAATGAATTTGCATTTTAACAGTAGTGGGCCACTGTATTGATGATCGGATAGGACACTTGACCTACAAAAAAGTGGAAATGAGTAAGCCACTGCTGCATGCCTCGGATGCACTAAAAGGCACAAGAGGTTAAATCCATAAAGGGATTTAGTCACATAAGTGTCTGCTGGTAAAGTCCCCTTAAACCTGCCACTGGGAACGTGCACAGCAATCTCAGTCCTGTGCCCAGTTGGGATCCTCAATCCTCAAACTAGGCATTCTCTCTCCTATCTTGCTTGCAGGGCCTGATCTGGCAGGCATTCTCAGAGGTCGCCTAACAGATCAGATCCCACACAAAACCTATCTAGAGGAGGAGGTGGTGATAGTGATGTTGCTTCCACCTTGTAATGTTTGGCCCAATGGTGAGAGCACTCCCCATGGACATGGGAGACCTGGGCTCAAATCCCACCCTGCCCGGATAGTCTAGGCTGGGTCTCTCTCCAGCTCTCCTGTAGAAGCCACTCTACTTTGTATAAATAATTAAATATTTATTGGGTCAGAGAAAAAGCAAGAATGACTCTTTAACCCTGTAGCTAGGGCATTCACCCAATACGTGAGAGACCTAAGTTTGAGTCCCTCTTCCAATCCTGTCCCACAACCCAGGAATGATTTACTACTGGGCTAAAAAGGGCAGCCTCACCACTTTCTTTTGCAAGAAAGGCCTTAGGTGCCTAGCTGCAGGAGAAGGTTCATGTGAATCTCAAACAAAAATAGGCATTTCCCTCAGACCTGGACTTAGGCGCCTAACTTCCTTTGAGGGGCAGGGCTTAGGTCATACCAGGGCTTAGGTCTTCAGCATTTCATATTAGTTAGTTTAGACAGCTCCCCACTCAACTTGCTGGCATTTGTGGATCCCATTCTTTGGTACTTAACTCTCCGCAGGAGTTATACAGAGTACCTGGTTCAGTGTTATAAATTCCATTAGATGGCAGGGTGACTAAAATTTAGGCACTGCAATGCTTAGACTAAGTCCCATTTTAGGATCTAGCCCAAGGCCTTTTGTCTTCTTTAACCACCAGAGAATTGCAGCAATAGCCTACTAATGCACACCCACTCCTATTTCTGACTCATCATAGCTTACTGCTACATTATAATGACTAATAGGGCTATTAGAGTATGGCTTATTAATCTTATACTTCATTATTTTTGAACACCCTTCCTAAAGTTTTGTGGGGGTTTTCATGCAATGAATCCTTCAACCGTGAAAAATGATTGTTTCAATCCTCATGTTGAATATATTTATTGTTTGTTTATTTTTCTAACCCACTCTCTTTTAAAAAGTTATTCCCTGAACTGTTTGCATCCTCTTCCCCTCCTCCCACTCCATCCCTACCCCCAGAAGGAGGGAACAGGTGTTCTCAGTGAGTTTCAATGATGAGGTCTCAATGTGCCTATAGAGAGTTTGGTGTACGACTATGGAATCATCAAAAAAGCCCAAACAGCACATTACATTTGCATTTGACTAACACTATTCCTATGTATACACTACAAATATTTTGTACTCAGCTGTGAAAACAGTCTCTCCCCTCCATTACCCTCACAGATCACCATAGTACACAGATGACCCGCAAAAAATGACATGAAATGGAAGATGTCTAGAATTTGGCACAGGATATCCATATCTGAGTCTCACTTCTATAAAACATTTTTAATCTTATGTTGTGGCTGTGATGGAGGCAAAGATGAGTTTTTTTGCCTCCCTCAGGGCATCTACAAAGCCCCAATCAGTAGTGTTCTAGGTGATGAGCATCCACACTGTGTCTATTTGCATGCAAAGTCAAAATGCTTCACATTGTGAGGAATTTTTAATGTATACAAGCCATTTTCATTTTTATTATATATTTATAAATATTTTTTAAAAGCTTAGAGAGGTTTCCAGTTCTGTATAACAGCTGTATAAAAGCTGCCAAGCTCAACTCTCTTTGAACTCCCTATGTATCTTGCTGTTTTGACATCAAATGCTATGTTCATTGCAAGTCTATTTCTAGTTTCTCTCCACTTCAAAACTCCCTTCAAAACTAGTGTATTTGTAAGAAATCCTAATGTATTACTTAGCTTAACTTAAAAATAAAATAGTTTAATTTAAAGACAAACAGCTGAGGCATGGAAGAAACATGATCAGTAGCTCTGTCTTCTGCCCATCTACAGTACTCACCCTGTAGGCATTTCAGAATGATGCATAAATAAACGATCAATTAATCAAAACAAAGGCTAAACAAATGTTTAGCGGCTAGATTTAAACCCTTCTAAAGATCTGCAGATATCTCCAGAGATGTGTGTCCTGTTTATTTCTTTCCTGTGCCCATTTTTGCTAAATAACAGTGTCCCACTGTTACTTCTGTGCTGCTGGGCCTATACCACTGACTGATGTAGATTAAATCCAGCAGCAATTCCAACTACAAGCTGATTTACAGGAAGCCCCGTGGAACAGTTTCACAACTCAGAATACATTTCCCCACAATGTTATACAGGTTAAAAACAATGTACATACCAACAAATACTATTCAGCTTATACTATTTAAAAAAAAAACATGCACATTTTCATATGGAAAGGGTAATTTGTTTTTCTTAAAAAACAACATCAATTTTAGATAAATTTTGTTCATGTTAAGCCACATTGTTCAGCTTCATAATCAGTAACCTGATTCACAAGGCCTAAGACAAAGTGATTCTGACAAGAGAGGAGATGAAAAAGAAAAGTCATTTACCTGTACAATAACTGGAGTTTATCTTAGATGTGTGGTTCCCTATCTGTAGTCTATTAGAAGCGTGCATGTACTCCATGTGCCCAAGACTGGAAGATTTCTTCTAGTAGACTCCATTGGTCCACAGCTGCACTCTTTCTCCTCCTTGAGTGCTGAACTGAGGGCATAAGTGGCAGTGTGGACTGACTGCTTCTCTTGTTCCCTTTTTACTGCGAATAGCCATAGGCCAAGGCTCTGCAGTAGAAGGGAAGGAAGGTGGATAGTGGAATACAGATAGGGACCACGCATCTCAAAGAACTCCAGTTATTGTACAAGGTAAGTAACCTTTCTTCTTCAAGTGATGGTCCTTATGTGTATCCACTCAAGGTGATTCACAAACAGTATTCATTGAGGAGGGTAGGTTGGTCTGCATCTGCTCTACCACCAGTTGGAGGACTGCTCTGCTGAAGGATGCATCTACTGTAGAAGATCAAACAAGAGCATAATGGTTCACAAAGGTGTGAACAGAGCTGCTCAACAGATCTCCAGAAGAGGGATATCTTGAAGTAAAGCAACGGATGCAGCCTGGGCTCTGGTCAAGTGGGCCCTCGTATCTTGTGGGAGATGGGCTGCCATTAACTCATAACAAAGGATGGTGCAACCCAAAATACATTTGGAAAGTCTCTGTGAAGAGATTGCTTGCCCTCTCATATGTACCATAAAAGAGACAACAGTTCAGGAGATTTCTTGAAGGGTTTTGTCTTCTGTAGATAGAATGACAAGGGTCATCATGCATCCAGAGAGTGTAGTTTCTTGTCCTCTCTGGTGGCATGTAGTTTTGGATAGAAGACAGGTAAATGGATGACCTGCTTTAGATAAAATTACTTTGTGGCTGAATTTGGGGGGTAACCTCAGGGAAATTTTGTCCTTATGGAAGACAGTATAAGCTGGTACAGCCACAAAAGCTCCCAGTTCACCTACTCTTCTGGCTCAGGTGATTGCAATCAGCAAGGCAACCTTCACAGATAGATG